GGACATGTGATGCATGTGCTAGAGGCGATCCAGAAAGCAAGCTTGACCTGCCATCCAGGGAAGTGCAAGTTCGGCACGAGAGGAGTGGAGTATCTGGGGTTTTAGGTTAGGGAGGGGTGCATGACAATTCAGTAAGCAAAGGTAGAAATCCTAGACCGGTTGGCCACACCTAAAGACAGGAGCACCTTGAGAGCGGTGCTGGGGGTTCCTGAATTACTATCGGAAGTTCATCCTGAACTTCAGCAGGAGAGCAATGGCCGTGCATTGGCTACTTCGAGAGGATCAGCCATGGAACTGGGGGCAAGAGGAGGAGGTGGCACTGAAAGATCTGCGTGGTGAAGATGGGCCCCTTCCTATACATGCCCAGCAAAACAGACCCCTTCGTCTTGTACACGGACTGGAGCAGTGCGGGAATCGGGGCGGTACTGTGCCAGGAGCTGAAGAAAGAGGGGGAAAAGGAAGGCGAGAAAGAAGAGAGGGTAATTGCCTTCGCCAGCAAGAGCTACACCGCGACGGAGGCCAGTTATAGTTCGTACGAAGGTGAAGCACTGGCGGCAGTATGGGCAGTGCAGCATTTCCGCATGCAAGGATTACGCTTCACACTCGTAACAGACCACCAGCCCCTGACGTGGCTGATGAGGAACCAGACTCTGACCGGACGAAACGTGCGGTGGGCGATGAGGTTACAGGAATACGAGTCCGACATAAAGCATCGGCTAGGGAAGACCCTGCAGCACGTGGATGGCTTATCGAGGAACTCACCACGGAGAGCCACTGCGGGCTAAGGAAATAGAGAGGTAGGGCACAGCAGCACGAGGATAGAAGGGACCAGAGGATATCTGGGCGGATGAGGAGGCCATGAAGTGGATCAAGGGAGAGGCAAATGAGAATGAGGTTGTGAGCGAGCGAGCCCGTAGCAGGGGGCAGCACTTCAGGTGGTTCGGGGAGCAGTTGCAGCTGCAAACAAAAGAGTGGTGGAAGCTCGTGCCGCGCCCGGAGGAGAGAGAAGAGATCATTAAAAAGGTGCACAGCAAGCTGGGGCATTTCGGTCATGCAAGGACGACGCAACTGGTGGCTAATGCCTACTGGTGGGCAGGCCTGGGAAGGCAAGGGAGGGAAGTAGTGGGCCAGTGCGAGGTCTGAAGCCACAGCAGGGCAACTCTGGAGCAGGACAGAGGGCACTTGCGCTCCCGGGAGGTCACAGAACCAATATTTCGATGGTCTTTGGACATGGCCAGCGAACTACCAATCAGTCGCAAGGGTAAGAAGTACATACTAGTCATGATGGAGCACGGCAGCAAATGGGTGGAAGTCAGGGCACTATGCAGCAAGAGCTTGGCATTAGTGGAGGAGACCTTTATGGACCAGGTGCTGACTCGCTTTGGGGCGTGCGCCGAGGTGGTAACAAACCAAGGGATGGAGTTCCTGGGGGCTTTCGAGCAGCTGTTGAAGGAAGTGGGTATTACGCACAGGAGTGCATCCAGGTATCACCCACAAGGAAACGGCTTGACCGAGAGAATGGTGCAAACTTTCAAGCGAGGACTGCGGGCCTACGAGGAGGAGAACAAAAGAAAGTGGGATGAGGAGCTGCAATGGATAGCAGCGGGGCATTGCTTTAGCAAGCAAGCAGCCCTGCGCTATCTATCTCCGAATTATCTGTTGTTTGGCAGAGAGCCGATTCCGTCAGTGGAGGCATCGAAACTGCAGAGAGACATCATGATCTTAGAGGATCTGGACAAGTGGGCGGCACTGGTGGCGGCCAGGGCAAAGTATCTGAAGGAGCTGCTGCCGACAGCGCTGAAAAATCTGCAAACGACACAGATCAAGGACGCAAAACGGTACGAACAGCGGCAGCAACAGCGGGGTCTCCTGGGAGGACCGACAGTGGCAGTGGGACATGAGGTGTACTTACAAAAGGCGAAGCAGGACCAGCTGGACGTGGGGCTGACGACTGAGAGGTGGGGGGTGAAGGAGGTGAAGCCATCAGGGGTGCTAGTATTGGAGAGTGCAGACGGCGGGGTAAAGCACGACCACGTGACGAACGTAGCACGGGCAAGGGGGACACAGCAGCAGGAGTAGAGTCCCAGCAGGCTAAGCAGGGGCCGGCCACCTCTGGGAGGGGGCAAGTGGGGAGTCAACCTGAGACACTGTAGGCCACCGGCAGAGACAGAAGCGAAGGATAGAAGAGGTGTGCAAGAGCTGTGTCCTATGAAGCCGAGGAGAAGGGAGAAAGGGAAGGTTTGGAAAGGAAGGGAGCCAGCAGAGATGGGTTTGCCGACAGCTGTCGCGCCCATGAGTTTGTACTCACACGCACGTCAGGAAGAAGGGCTGTGAGGGGTATCTCGAAGTCGAGTGTAACAGGAGGAAAGAAGCGTATAGCGGAGTCAGGTGGAATCGAGGGAGGGCAGTGCGGCGAGGACAGGAGAAAACCCAGGGTAGAGGGGCCGCGCAAAGTTCAAGGGGGGTTAGAGGGGCGTCACCAGGCGGGCTGGTGACGGGGGCAGCGCTTTTCACTTGGGTGAGAGGAGTAGATGGGGTCATCACGGAGGGATAGGAAGGCAACGATTGGCGGAGCTTGTACAACCTTGGCATGCATGCATGGCATGATGTATTCTAGTCTGTTCCACATGAGGCGATCGACTTGGCGGGGACCAGTCTTGCCTCACAGAGTGCTCCTGCAGGTAACAAGTTTGTGTATATAGGGTAGCACCTGTTAGGAGAACTCTGCTCATATTTTTTTTTCCTGCGTATTTGAATAAACTGCACTTATACCAAGAGGATGTGTTCGACAACAGGAGCCAGTTGCTAGATTCTAAGTAAGCTAGATCAGACTCTTTCAAGTGGGGAGTCAACCTGAGACACCGTAGGTCATCGGCAGAGACACAAGCAAAGGATAGAAGAAGTGTGCAAGAGCTGTGTCCTAGGAAGCCGAGGAGAAGGGAGAAAGGGAAGGTGTAGAAAGGAAGGGAGCAAGCAGAGACGGATTTGCCGACAAGATCCTTGCCGAGGTTTGCACTAATGGCGTAGACAACATGCCTAGGAGGGTGCGGGTGGTGATCAAGGCCAAGGGTTGGTGGACTAGGTACTACAAATGTTGTTTAGACGTTTACTCTCTGTCCTGAGAAATATTTGTACAGATGTACTCGTTGTATATCTTTTAGAGTATTAGTGAGATCCAATGTACTATTCTGGATTTAAGTACTATGAATGCATCCACTATGTGTCCTTCCCAAAGCGTACCACCATTAAACATTAAGGTTTAATGCACAGTGGTCTTAAAGCCCAAAAATCCTAATTAATACAATGCAGACGGACAATTATTTCTGTCACTGTAGTTTGCCTCCGGCCGTCTTGGAATGTTTTTCCGTGCGCAAGGTATCTGCCAGACGTACACATTGCCGAGCTCCTCAAAGTAGAATGGGTCGCTAAGCGACACATCCGCTTGGTCATGGAGGTAGCTCGCACCTCCTTAGTCAACGCCAGTGCACCCCTTTTTCTGTGATCGTTCGTCTTGCCCTACGCATCTCACCAGCTTAAACCTGTGGTCGCGCTCCCTTTGCCCACAGGTTTTGCCTACCCTTCTCTGGACCGGGTCCCCTAGTGACGCCTCTGCATGCCACGTCTGGGACAACCTTGCTTACGTCCGCGCCACTCGCGCAGACTAGCTCTCAGCCCGCACTCTCCCCTGTGTCTTTCTCGGTTTTCCTCTTGACGCCCCTGACTTGTTTTACACCACCGCTTCTACCGCTCTCGTCATGTTACCTTCAACAAAACAGTCCCCTACTACACCTGCTTCCCTTACCGTAGCTCTCCTGTCCCTCCTCCTCCTCTCTTCCTTGCCCCTACCTGGCTTGCCGCACCAATCCCATCTTGCCCGGCCTGTCTGGTATCTCTCACGCCACTCCGTTCACTTCATTTGAGCCCGTGGTGGAGCTTGCTAACTCTGGGGGCCCCGTTGCTGGGGGTGCACCTGCTGTTCCTCTAGCTCCTCTCCCCTAGCCCTGGTCCTCCAGGCACCTCCACAGCCTCCCCCCTTGTCTTAGCAGCAGCAGCAGCAGCCAGAGCCGCAGCAGCAATTCAGCTGCCGCAGTAGCAATAGCAACAGCAGGGGGTAGTGGGTGCAGGGGGTGCTGACTCTGGGGGTGCAGGTTGTGTAAGTGGTGCGTCGAGGGGTGCTAGTCTTGGGGGTGTTGTTTTAGGGAGTACAGGTGGTAGTCAGGGTGGTGCTGGAATTCTTGGAGAGCACAGGCAATTGCAGCAACGGCAGTCGCCGCAGCAGCAGCAGCAACAACAGCTGTCTACCCTTCATCTCCTTGGCCTTTCCTCCGGTTCCCCTGACCGACCGCCCATCCGCCCTGGGATGGTGCCTTGTTTTTCTTGAATCTTGGTAAGGAATTTGGTATCACTGCGAGTGTTCTTGCCCAAGTTAGAAACTCAACTGAGGGAACTTGTAAAGGGAACCTAGTCTCTGACTTGCTCTCATACCATATTGGGCTGAGAAGAGTCCTAGGATCCTTGGCAGCGACTAAGTCCTTGAGTAGATAGAGTGCTTGATAGCGCAACGGAAGTCTGAGTTGAACCCTTGTACTAGTATGTGAGAATAAGTGATTGATCATAGCAATAATATACGAGGATATGAAATGTCTATGTACAATGCACTTCAAAGGGTACATTCCCTTTACGAATCGATAAGCACGTCTCAGGTAACCACCCGTGCTGTAAGACCAGGACGGTTGTTTTTCTTTGCTGCCACGTTGACTTCGACTCTTGCACGTCTGACCACAAGATTGCAAGGTCAACGATCAGCGACCGTTGCCCTTCGCAACTGTTGGTGCAACCCTATGGCTTGCACTCGGCTTGTCGTCCTTGTTTGTGTGTGTGCATGCATGGCATGGAATGAATTGTGAGTCTATGTCATTGCTATCCAGTGCTTGTGTGTGTGTTTGAATGGTGTATCACAATGTGGTTTGTGTCGGTCAAGACATTAGCAAGTTTTTACAACTCGCATGTCAAGTCGTCGTTTGTGTGTCGCATGTGTTTTTTCTATTTTGTCGAGTGTGAAGTGTCGATCGTGTCGCAGGTGTGTGCAGCAAGCCCCATCAACTCAAGAAGAATTTATCTTGCAGATCCAGGAACAAGAGCTCAAGATTTCAAGCCCAAGGGACGCGGATAAATATTAAATAGTGAAAATAGTAACGTTACTTCGTGTAGTGTTACATTTCACTTGGTGTAGCCCCTTGGAGGGTTGGTTTCGAGACTCTTCATGGTTGGGGACCCTGTGGTGGTGTACCACCAACCTGGACCTCGGCTCTTGGGGTATGTAGAGGCTGGGAACCATCTCCCTCTCGAACTCTTCTTGCTAAGTTTGTACTCCTAAGACTATTGTGGCTGCTATACCTCCTGCCAGTCAAACCGCCATAGCGTCGTCAAATCTTCATGGAATTTCATGATTCAACTTGCTGCTGATAGACGACAGCAACACGCTCCAGATCCAATTTACACATCACCGTTTGATTCAGTGACCAGATCGTTATCAGTATTTGAAGCCGTCTGACAGAAATCCGACTGTGCTCTCTATCTCTCATTATAGGCACATCTAAGCCTATTGTGATTATAACAAGTGGTATCAGAGCCCCTTGGAGCTGTCTCGACCATGCCTAGGCCTGAGGAAGGGGGTGGCAGAGGTGTTGGAGGCAGAGAAGACGCCCAAGCACAAGGTCAACACCAAGATCCACCCGTTGCTCCGGTGCAACCTAGCCTTGGACCCTCTAGGGATGAGCCTAGAGTGTTTGGCCTTGACAAGTTCAACGGTGACAACTTTGCTGAGTGGTCCTTCAAGATGGAGAACATCTTTGACCATTATGATCTGCTGGAGGTGATGGAAGGAACGGAGAAGCACCCCGAGAACGACCCGGAGAAGAGCCCGTGGGTGCGGAAGAGCGCACAAGGCTACCTTCTACTTGGGCAAGCGTTGGGGAGCAGCCAAATCCGTCACATCAAGCCTTTTCAGCGTGAACCAGCAAAGGGACCAAAGGCATGGGCTGCTCTCAAGGGTGTACACGCTCCTGCAACAGCGGCGGTGGCTGTGGTTTTGGAGCGGCAAATGGCGGCACTTCGAATTGACGAAGGCGAACCGGTGGAGGAAGGAGTGCAGAAATTCTTCGACTTGTTGACACGGCTCGAAGGAGCTGACCTGAACTACAGTGACCTTCAAAAGAAGACCAAGCTGCTAGCCTTACTTCCGGACTCATGGTCCTCGCTCATCATCAACCTTAATCGAGATCTGCCCCGTCTCTCACTCGAAGATGTGAAGCGGGAAATCTTACAAGAAGATTTCCGCCGTCGCGAATTGGCGGGTCCCGATGGTGCCGGAGTTGCAAGCATGGGCCGTGGGCACGGCCGTGGAAGGGGCAGAGGGCGAGGAGGCAGATTTGGCAGCAGCAACTTCAATGGAGGCCGTGGTAATGGAGGATATGGCAGCAACAACAATGGCTACGGGCGTGGGCGCGGTCGATTTGATGGCGAATGCCACTTTTGCCACAAGACCGGCCACATGTGGAGAGATTGCTTCAAACTACCTGATGGCTGGACCCCCTCTCAAGGCCAAGAGGGCAGAGGAGCAAGGGGAGGAAGAGGCAGAGGTCGTGGAGGCCGTGGTGGCCGTGGAGGCGAAGCGGCAAGCATGAAAGGTGGAGACTACGACAAGGACTCGAGTGAAGATCGATACCCGGGCCAATTCTTCTTTGTCTCCACGCAAGCGGCAGCTGCAGCAGGAGGTGTGGAAGGCTTTGAGGAGCCAGCTACTGTGGGAAAGGTCACCCTTCACTCTCTGGACTTTTGGGTGATCGATAGCGGCGCCACCTATAGCATGACACCTCGTGCGGACTTGCTCACCGAACTCGAACCGTCGCCGGTCAAGCATGTTACATCGGCTTTGGGACAGCGAGCAGAGGTGAAAGGCATGGGCAAGGCCATGTTCAAGGGTGCTGATGGGAAGATGGTGGGCCTCAAGAACGTGCTTTTGGTGCCCAACCTAGCAGCCAACCTGATTTCCGTTCGGCGTTTGCAAAAGGCCGGCATGGACACATCTTCCAAGGGTTCGAAAACATATACCGCGAGGCTTGGTGAGCGGAAGCTTTGGGACCTTCATGAGGACAGGGACATCTACAATGAGATGTGGCAAATCCCAGTGGTCCCCATGCCTAAGGAGAGGCAAGTGGCAGCAAGCGTCAGCACCAAGAGTGAAGCGGATGGTGGCGGTGATCACGGAAAACAAAGTGACACCAAGAGTGACTCGAAGGAGTGCAATCTTGGAGAGACCAGCAAGGCGTGTGAACCCAAGGAGAGTAGTGCAGCAGCCAAAGGTGGTGGAAATGAGGAGGGGAAACCTAAGATCAGCAAAGCAGCAGCGGCGAAGGAGAAAGGAGAGAGCTTGTGGGACACGATTGCGAGTGCCGCTTTCTCCAACCCGACTTCCGCTACGGGAGAGTGTGATTGGCTGACCTTGCATCGGCGAATGGGGCATGTGGCATTGCCCATTTTGCAGCAGATAGTTAAGCAAGAGATGGTCAGTGGGATACGTGTCAAGGGGGAGCCCAATGAGGTGCTTGGCTGTCCAACATGCATGCAAGCCAAGTTCACCCGCTACCCGTTCCATAGCTCGGAGACAACGGCGAAGGCACCACTTGATGAGGTGGTGATGGATGTGGTGGGCCCTTGAAGCTTGGAGCTGCTGGAGCTGCGTACTTCCTCACCATTGTGGACGTCTACACTCGCATGACTTGGGTGTATGTGCTGCCAAAGAAGAGTGACGTAGCTGAAACGGTGAAGACCGATTGGTTGCCGATGGTGGAGCGGCAACAAGACCGACTTGTGAAGGCGATTCGCACTGACCGTGGGGGAGAGTTCCTGAGCAAGGATTTCTCAACTTGGCTGAAGAAGCAGGGCATAAGGCACTCTCTTACCATGCCCTACTCTCCTGCAATGAACGGCATCGCCGAGCGTGCGAATCGGACACTCACGGAGACGGCTCGGGGACTTCTCATTGAAGCCGGTCTTCCCAATTACTTTTGGCCGGATGCGGTGCGGCATGCTTGTGTGGCCAAGAACAGAGCCTTGACTCATGTGGGAGAAGACAAATGGGTGCCCTATGTGGAGTGGATTGGAAGGAAGCCGAAGGTGGATATGCTTCGGGTGTTCGGGTGCATGTGCATGGCACTTGTGCCTAAGAAACTTCGGCACAACAAACTTGATGCCAAGGCAACATGGGCCGTGCACCTGGGCATGGCTCAAAACAGCAAGGGATGGCTTCTTTGGGACCCATTTACCAAGAAGTTCTTGGTGAGCAGAGATTGCAAGTTCATGGAGAACTTACCGTACAAGGAGTGGAAGGCGGAGAACCAAGCGAAGATTGGTATGCGGCTTGGAGAGGTGAAGAGTAACGGCTTGGAGCATGTGGAGCTGCCCTTGGAGCTGAGTAGCAGCAGCACAGTCACGAGGCAATCTCCTCAAATGAATGGGGATGAAGAGGAGGAGGAGGTGCAGCAAGGTGATGAGCGTGCACCGTCACTTCCGCCTCGTGCTACAAGTGCTCGTGGGAACCGACCAGATTTACCGCAATGCCATGAGAGCATTCAAGTCCCTGCAGCAGAGGAGGAAGGAAGGGGGAGAAGGAGAACTCAGCCCCCTAATAGGTTGAGCTATGATCGGCTTGGAAGACCAGCCAACTCAACCTTGACCGGTTCGGCTCTCATGCTAGGCGATGATGCGGAAGATGAAAGCGAGGAGTGCGCCTTTGCCTTCTTCTCTCCGGTGGAGATGCCGGGGGAGCCTACAAATCCCAAGGAGGCTTGGGAGGGCCCCAATGGGAAGGAGTGGAAGAAGGCCTCAGATGAAGAAATGGGGAGCATCATCGAGAACGACACGTTTGACTTGGTGAACCTACCTCCGGGGCGTAAGGCGATCTCTTCCAAGTGGCTCTTCAAGCGCAAGACCGACGCCGACGGCAACATCGAGCGCTACAAGAGCAGACTTGTAGCCAAGGGGTATCAGCAGCAAGAGAAGAAGGACTACAATGAAGTGTATGCTCCTGTGGTGAAGGGTACAACCCTTCGAACCCTCTTCGCCGCGGCGGCCATCAAAGGATGGGTGGTGAAGCAAATGGATATCGTAACGGCCTTCCTCAACGGCGTTCCTCTTCATGGTTGGGGACCCTGTGGTGGTGTACCACCAACCTGGACCTCGGCTCTTGGGGTATGTAGAGGCTGGGAACCATCTCCCTCTCGAACTCTTCTTGCTAAGTTTGTACTCCTAAGACTATTGTGGCTGCTATACCTCCTGCCAGTCAAACCGCCATAGCGTCGTCAAATCTTCATGGAATTTCATGATTCAACTTGCTGCTGATAGACGACAGCAACACGCTCCAGATCCAATTTACACATCACCGTTTGATTCAGTGACCAGATCGTTATCAGTATTTGAAGCCGTCTGACAGAAATCCGACTGTGCTCTCTATCTCTCATTATAGGCACATCTAAGCCTATTGTGATTATAACAGCAACCTCCTTTGTGTGTCGTCAGACTACGACCGTCCGAGGGTAATGTAGCAAGGTTAACTCGTCAGTCTTCGTTGTTGCGTTACTCGCATATGTGTATTACATGCGAGACTACTGGAATGCTTAAGTTTCTTCTGCATCATTTCTAACATATTTTTCTTATGTTTCAAAATTGTTAGCAACAGAAAGACTTCTGTATCCTGACGTCACACCACTTCATGCACGCCCTAATTGGAATACGTAGGGGAAGATTCCAAGATGATAACATGCTAGAAGCATACCTTTCTGCAAGCAGCTGTATCAAATAGAGGTTTCCCTTGCTGAGTTTGTGCCTTGGAGTAGTTACTGTAAAATTAAAAGAAAAGGTTGGACTAGGAAGGGGGAGGGGGAGATACAAAGATTTTTACTCCCTAAGAGCTGACCTAGCTAGGATATAGAATTGCATGTGAACTAACTAGGATACATATATGTGTTATTTGACACACCCCCTAGCCTAGGTAGTGGCAGCGTCTACCAGACAAGAACAGAACTAGGGCAACACTACTAGTCTAGCCTCTGGAGTATGTAACAAAGCAGCTCAGGGTGGCACTACTAGTCTGGCCACCGAGATAGGGGCCAAAAGGCCAGTCAGCAAGCGTACCAGGACAAAAGGTGTAGAACAGTAAGTACAAGCTGAAATAGCATAGATCAGGATACAAGGAGCAGAGAGGCTACTGAGACTAGACCGAGCTGAGTATAGAACCGTTGATGGTCACGAGGTGCTAGTGTCTTCGTGAAGATTCTGTATTAGCAGTGTTGGCCTCAAAGACCAACTGCACTACACTAACCCAACTGCACTGCTGAAACTCACGCAGCAGGAAGTACCACAGCTGGTGTTTTGCCCTGCCCTCAAGTCAATCCTCCTAACACTGGAGGATCATGGCCCTGTTGTTAGCAAACATGACCGAGGCAGGGCTAGGCTGCTCACATAATCAGTGAGTAAGAACGTCAGCCAGCGTAGCTCTTGAGCGGCCATGGCCCCAGCCTAGATCTTTGCATCACAACTAGACTGAGCTACAGACAATGACCTAGTGGACCTCCACGAGATTGCACCAGCACCAAGACTAAACAGTAGCCATATGGGGACCTTAGCGTCTCCGAGTCTGTGTATCCAGTGAGGACCACTGGCTCCCATCTTCCTTGCACAAGCTTCACCCCTGATGTACATGACACATACCGCAGTACCCTCTTAGCAGCCGACTAGTGCTCTAGTTGGTGCCTACCAGCCGCAACAAAGCGAGCAAGGATACAGAGAGGGTACGCTACATCTGAATGAGTGCATGCCATCAGGCATATGATGCACCCCACCAGCTCTGCGTATGGACCTCTGGGCTCGGTCGGCTCAGACAGAACAGGAGCAGAGAGCTTGTGATCCATATGCAGAAGGGTGGGCTGTGCTGAAGAGAACTGAAGGTCGAACCGCTGGAGGATGTGCTGCACTATGTGAGACTGGGAGTGATCGTGCC